ACCACATGGAATTATAATGGTCTGGCCACCTGAGCTGCCTCCTCCTCCACCACCGCTGGATCCTCCCCCCATACAGGAGCTAGAACTTTGGCCACCAGAACTCTGACCACCACCACCTCCTCCACTACTTCCACCACATGGTACAATGATGGTTTGGCCACCAGAACCACCTCCACCACCACCACCTCCACTGGATCCTCCTCCCATGCAACAGCCAGAACTCTGGCCACCAGAACTTTGGCCACCACCACTGCTTCCACCACATGGAATGATAATGGTCTGGCCACCTGAGCCTCCACCTCCACCACCACTGCTGGATCCTCCTCCCATGCAGGAACTAGAACTTTGGCCACCAGAACTCTGACCACCACCACCTCCCCCACTACTCCCACCACATGGTACAATGATGGTTTGGCCACCAGAACCACCTCCACTGGACCCTCCTCCCATGCAGGAACTAGAACTTTGGCCACCAGAACTCTGGCCACCACCACCACCACTGCTTCCACCACATGAAACTATGATGGTCTGGTGGCCAGAACTCTGGCCACCACCACCACCACTGGACCCTCCCCCCATGCAAGAGCTAGAACTTTGACCACCAGAACTCTGGCCACCACCACCACTGGACCCTCCCCCCATGCAAGAACTAGAACTTTGGCCACCATAACTCTGGCCACCACCACCACCACCACCACCACCACTGGACCCTCCCCCCATGCAAGAGCTAGAACTTTGGCCACCAGAACTTTGGCCGCCACCGCCACCACCACTGCTTCCACCACAAACTATGATGGTCTGGTGGCCAGAACTCTGGCCACCACCACCACCTCCACTTGATCCTCCCCCCATGCAACAACCACTACTCTGGCCACCACCACTGCTTCCACTGGACCCTCCGCCCATAGAGGAACTAGAACTCTGGCGACCAGAACTTTGGCCACCACTGCTTTGGCCTCCACTGCTACCACCACATGGCACTATGATGGTTTGTCCACCACCACCACCACCTCCACCTCCACTGGATCCTCCTCCCATGCAGCAGCCAGAACTCTGCCCCCCAGAACTCTGGCCCCCAGAACTCTGGCCCCCAGAACTCTGGCCTCCACCACTGCCTCCACCACAAATTATGATGGTTTTTCCACCTGATCCACCACTACTCCCACCTCCACTGGATCCACCACCCATGGATTTCATTCCTCCTGATCCTCCACCTCCACCTCCTCCTCCTCCACCACCACCACCACCACTAGATCCCCCACCAATGATCTTTACACCACCAGATCCTCCTCCACCACCTGATCCTCCTCCCATACCAGAGCTAGATCCTCCACTGCTTCCACCAGAAATGATCTTTACTCCACCGGAGCCACCTCCCCCTCCTCCACCACCACCACTAGATCCCCCACAAATGATCTTTACACCACCAGATCCTCCTCCACCACCTGATCCTCCTCCCATACCACTGCCAGATCCTCCACTGCTTCCACCTGAAATGATCTTTACTCCACCAGAGCCACCTCCCCCTCCTCCTCCACCCCCACCCCCACCACCACCACTAGATCCCCCACCAATGATCTTAGCACCACCTGATCCACCTCCACCACCTGAGCCTCCTCCCATACCACTGCCAGATCCTCCACTGCTTCCACCTGAAATGACCTTTACTCCACCGGAGCCACCTCCCCCTCCTCCTCCTCCTCCTCCACCACCACCACTAGATCCCCCACAAATGATCTTAACACCACCTGATCCTCCTCCACCACTTGATCCTCCTCCCATACCACTGCCACCTCCCCCTCCTCCTCCTCCACCACAACCACAACCACCACCACCCCCACCACCACCACTAGATCCCCCAGCAATTATTTTCATGCCACCTGATCCACCCCCACTGCCCCCTCCACTGCATGGCATCTTTTGCTGCATTCCACCCCCAGATCCCCCACCAGACCCTCCTCCCATACAGCAACCAGAAGACTGTCCACCACTGCCGCCGCCTCCAGATGATATAATGACTTGGCCAGATCCACCGCCTGAGCCACCGCCTCCTCCTCCTCCTCCTCCACAGGAGCACTGTCCACCTCCACTGCTGCCACCTGATGAGACAATGATGATCTTTTGTCCTCCACTTCCACCACCGCCACTGCCTCCACATCCACCACCGCCACTGCTTCCACCTCCACCGCAGCACGTGGATCCTCGCGACTGTTGGCCAGAGGAGCCTCTGCTAGAAGAACAGCAACAGGATGATGATGATGAAGATCTTCCTCCACTACTTCTACCACAGCATGAACGGCCACCTCCGCCACCGCCACCGCCACCGCCGCCACCACAACAGCCACTGCTCTGCCTTTGCTGCCCACTCATTTTTTCTATGTTGAGTAGAAGAAGCTCTTTTCTTTTTTGGCCTCCTTTTGATGGTTTGGTTCTGAAAAGTAAGAGAGAACAAAATAATCATTACTGGTCCAACATTGGCCTAAATTTTGACTCATTTTGAACTAAAAGTCTAAGTATCCCTGAAGATTTGCTAAGTAGCACTGGAGTGATGAGAGTTACTCAAGAGTTACTCAAGATTGATGGGAGTTACTCAAGACTGATGAGAGTTACTCAAGAGTCACAACTACACTGGATTGTTCTATCCCTTTACTGCAATGGTTCTCAACCTTCCGAATGCTGCGACCCCTTAATACACTTCTTCATATTATGGTGACCCCCCAACCATCACATTATTTTCGTTGCTACTTCATAACTGTTATGGATCATCATATAAATATCGGATATGCAGGATGTATTTTCATTCACTGGATGAAATTTGGCACAAATATCGATATGGCCAAATTTGAATACTTGTTGGCTTGGGGGAAGCGATTGATTTTATAATTTGGGAGTTGTAGTTGCTGGGATTTATAGTTCACCTACAACCAAAGAGCATTCTGAACTCCACCAGTGATGGAATTGGACCAAGCTTGGCACACAGAACTCCCATGACTAACAGAAAATACTAGAAGGGTTTGGTGGGCATTGACCTTGAGTTTGGGAGTTGTAGTTCACCTACTTCCAGAGAGCGCTGTGGATTCAAACAATGTTGGGTCAGGACCTAACTTGGGACAAATACTCAATATGCCCAAATGTGAACATTGGAGGAGTTTGGGGGACAAAGACCTTGACATTTGGGAGTTGTAGTTACTGGGATTTATAGTTCACCTACAATCACAGAGCATTCTGAACTCCACCAGCGATGGAATTGAACCAAACTTGGCACACAGAACTCCCACAACAAACAGAAAATACTGGAAGAGTCTGGTGGGCATTGACCTTGAGTTTGGGAGTTGTAGTTCACCTACTTCCAGAGAGCGCTGTGGATTCAAACAATGTTGGGTCAGGACCTAACTTGGGACAAATACTCAATATGCCCAAATGTGAACACTGGTGGGGAAAATAGACCTTGACATTTGGGATTTGTAGTTGCTGGGGTTTATAGTTCACCTACAACCAAAGAGCATTCTGATCTCCACCAGTGATGGAATTGGACGAAGCTTGGCACACAGAACTCCCATGACTAACAGAAAATACTGGAAGGGTTTGGTGGGCATTGACCTTGAGTGTGGGAGTTGTAGTTCACCTACTTCCAGAGAGCGCTGTGGATTCAAACAATGTTGGGTCAGGACCTAACTTGGGACAAATACTCAATATGCCCAAATGTGAACATTGGAGGAGTTTGGGGGACAAAGACCTTGACATTTGGGAGTTGTAGTTGCTGGGATTTATAGTTTATTTATTTATTTATTTATTTACTTTGCTTATATACCGCAGTTCTCAGTCCAGTTGATTCACCTCCAACCAAAGAGCATTCTGAACTCTACCAACGATGGAATTGAACCAAACTTGGCACACAGAACTCCCATGACTAACAGAAAATACTGGAAGGGTTTGGTGGGCATTGACCTTGAGTTTGCGAGTTGTAGTTCACCTATATCCAGAGAGCACTGTGGACTCAAGCAATGTTGGGTCAGGACCTAACTTGGGACAAATACTCAATATGCCCAAATGTGAACATTGGAGGAGTTTGGGGGACAAAGACCTTGACATTTGGGAGTTGTAGTTACTGGGATTTATAGTTCACCTACAATCACAGAGCATTCTGAACTCCACCAGCGATGGAATTGAACCAAGCTTGGCACACAGAACTCCCATGACTAACAGAAAATACTGGAAGGGTTGGGTGGGCATTGACCTTGAGTTTGGGAGTTGTAGTTCACCTACATCCAGAGAGCACTGTGGACCCAACCAACTATGCCAAAGGGATTTCTAAGACTATCAGAAATATGTGTTTTCTGATGGTCTTTGGTGACCCTCTGAAACCTACTAGCGACCCCCCCCCCCCTTTCAGGTTGAGAAACACTGCTTATACTGCATCATAATACCTTCAGTTCCTTTGGAAGACAGTCATAGATACTCTTTGCAAATTCATTGCTTTCCACCTTTTGGGTCACCTTTCCAGTTTATATTTATAGTTATGGAAACTTGATGACCTTTTGTCCTAGGTGCTGGTGACCTCTGACCTCTGAAGAATTGCTACACCAAATGTTGGTGGTGGAAACTCCTCCACTCACAAACTTTGGAGCACATTCAACTACTTCTGTTCCTCATGAGGAGCATGTTCATTTGTCACATCTTAAACAACTGAGATAGAAAACATTGTCAAAATTCTTCTGAAGACGGTAGTTCCAGCACCAAAAACATCTTCCATGCTACTTGAAAAAAATGAAAAATTTTGCTCCATCAGGAAATGAAACTAAGACTATCATCTTCTGTAATATTCCAATGCTCTACCTGTTCTAATATTCATTAAGCTCAACTGAAGCTGTCGTACTTTGGCCATATCACAGAAAGATATGACTCACTAGAAAAGATAATAATAAGGTAGGAAAATAGGAAGACCCGCACATTACAGTTGGCGAATCTCAACCAATGAAGCCATCGTTGAGTCTGAGGATAGGGTGACTTGGAGGTCTCATATCCATACAGTTACCATAATTCAAAGTTGACTTGATGGCAGTTGGCGAGTCTCAACCAATGAAGCCATCTTTGAGTCTGAAGATAGGGTGACTTGGAGGTCTCTCATCCATACAGTTACCATAAGTCAAAGTTGACTTGATGGCAGTTTGTCGAGTCTCAACCAATGAAGCCATCTTTGAGTCTGAAGATAGGGTGACTTGGAGGTCTCTCATCCATATAGTTACCATAAGTCAAAGTTGACTTGATGGCAGTTGGCGGGTCTCAACCAACAAAGCCATCTTTGAGTCTGAGGACAGGGTGACTTGGAGGTCTCTTCCATACAGTTACCATAAGTCAAAGTTGATGGCAGTTGGAGAGTGTCAACCAATGAAGCCATCTTTGAGTCTGAGGATAGGGTGACTTGGAGGTCTCTCATCCATACAGTTACCATAAGTCAAAGTTGACTTGATGGCAGTTTGTCAAGTCTCAACCAATGAAGCCATCTTTTGAGTCTGAGGATAGGGTGACTTTGAGGACTCTCATTCATACAGTTACCATAAGTCAAAGTTGACTTGATGGCAGTTGGCGAGTYTCAACCAACAAAGCCATCTTTGAGTCTGAGGAYAGGGTGACTTGGAGGTCTCTTCCATACAGTTACCATAAGTCAAAGTTGATGGCAGTTGGCGAGTGTCAACCAATGAAGCCATCTTTGAGTCTGAGGATAGGGTGACTTGGAGATCTCTCATCCATACAGTTACCATAAGTCAAAGTTGACTAGATGGCAGTTTGTCGAGTCTCAACCAATGAAGCCATCTTTTGAGTCTGAGGATAGGGTGACTTGGAGGTCTCTCATCCATACAATTACCATAAGTCAAAGTTGGCAAGTCTCAACCAATGAAGCCATCTTTGATTCTGAAGATAGGGTGACTTGGGGGTCTCATATCCATACAGTTACCATAAATCAAAGTTGACTTGTTGGCAGTTGGCGAGTCTCAACCAATGAAGCCATTTTTGAGTCTGAGGACAGGGTGACTTGGAGGTCTCTCATCCATACAGTTACCATAAGTCAAAGTTGACTTGTTGGCAGTTGGTGAGTCTCAACCAATGAAGCCATCTTTGAGTCTGAGTAGGGTGACTTGGAGGTCTCTCATCAATACAGTTACCATAAGTCAAAGTTGATGGCAAGTCTCAACCAATGAAGCCAACTTTGAGTCTGAGGATAGGATGACTTTGAGGTCTCCCATCCATACAGTTATCATAAGTCAAAGTTGGCGAGTCTCAACAATGAAGCCATCTTTGAGTCTGAAGATAGGGTGATTTGGAGGTCTCTCATCCATACAGTTACCATACGTCAAAGTTGACTTGATGGCGGAACATCAACAAGAACTATGATGGACCAATATTTTTGCAGTAGTTTATCTGCATATACTACCCACTAGTTATCTTAGTTACTGCATATTGTCTACCTTGCACTAACTAGCAACAGCTTTACTATGAATCTGTCCAAAGCCTGCCAACATCATTGTCCAAATTCTTGACCCTGGAGATGTCCATCTGGGACCTTCTGGTAGCAAAGCATGAAATTCACCCAAAGAGATGTGATTTTTCTTCTCTTCCTCCCTGTATTACACCTTATCCAGAATATGTTGGCAGGTCTAACTATCCATAATCCCCTCCAAACTCTGCAATCTTGACTTTCCATCATCCAACTGATGAGCAATTATCTTCTAGAGCTTACTGATTGGTAATTACATTCTCAGCCATATTATGCACCACTAGGCAAAGGACTGAATCCAATCTTCCATAAAATAGATGCCAATATGTAAGTGTGGCTTACCTTCTTCAGCAGCTGCAACCAAAGGAGAAGTTGCACATAAGCGGATGGAGAGCTTTTGGCTCCAGAGATCTTTTTATACTGTCTTCAGACCAAACCAACGGGAAATGAGACACCCCCAGGAATGGAGAGTTGCATATTTTGCTCCCTGTTTAACTACTGGACTTGCTGGTCCTAGGTGCATGATGAGATGTAGGAGATCGGCATCTATTACTCTAATCATTTCTTAATTGGTGATGAATAAACATCAAGAATTAATTAGGAGCTCCGCCTAATGTTTTGGGTAGAATCCAACGGGTTGCTAACTTCTGTTTGCAGGTGTGCAAAAGTTGTTGTAAAACGGGCCACGAATCCAAACCCAACCAGACTTGCCTGTCAATTTGTTTTGGGTTTTATTAGGAAGGAAAAGAACAAAAACATAATGTTGTAACTACTGACTAGAGGAGAACCTACTGGAGTTACCAATACATGGTTCATGGTTGATGCAATAGATGTCCATCTATCTTTGGGCCCTGGTCAAAGTAGGCCTTGTTCAAGTGGTCCCTGATCAAGTGGGCCCTTCTCTACATGGGACTTCAAAACACAATTCTGGCCCCTGTGTGTATCTATTTGTGTTGTATGTCAATAGATATGGAAAAAGAAGGGATCTCAGGAGAGGCACCATA